CCAGCAGCTCCACATCCCTCTGGTGCTGTTGTCCCAGAGCTGGACACAGAAGTATCTCCCCCGAGCGTGGGGATGCTGCATCCTCCTGCCCTGCTCAGTCCTTGCGGCGCTGCTGGCCGGGTCCACGCTCTGGGAAGGTGTTGGGAGAAGCCCTTTGCTCCTGCCCCATGGGCTGTGTCTGCTTCACAACAGAGCGCATCCCCTGAGGGATGTGCTCGGCCCTGCTCCGTGCTGCTGGGATGCTGAGCTGGCTGGAATGACCTGTGAGGTGAGGAAGTGTCCGTGTAAGAGCCCAGGGAACAGCCCAGGGAAGGAGCAGCTTCCTCTTTGCTCAGCACCTTTCACAAGTGCTTTCATTGCCTTTATTTTAACCGTCTCTGGTTTACAAGACCAACATTCCCACAAGGATTTAGGGTCACACGAGGTTTCCTGGTGCTCTGATGGACCCACAGATACATTGCGGATTAATTGTGTTGTAATTGCGCAGTTCTGGAGTTGAATCAATGCGCTGGACACCTCCAAAACATGGGTGCTTCCTCCCCCAGGAGGCTTCACAGAGCTCTGGGGGCTCCGAGGCGGATCCAGTCTCCCCTTAAACCCTGTATTTAGGGTGCAGCCTTCCCCTGAGCAGAGCACCCTCGGCTCTGCTGGGGTTTGCCCTCCTGGCGTTGCTGTTGGGCACAGAACACCTCGGATCCATGTGGCCAGGGGCGGGTTTTCCCAAGGCTCCTTTTCAGCTCCAGAACTGCCAACGTGGTATTTGCCACCCACCGAAGCAGGCGCCGGTTGTCTCCTGACCTGTCGGGATCCCGGCTACGCTCCAGCCTCGCGGCGCTGCGGGAGGAGGACGGAGCGTACGGGATGCTCGGGGGACCTGGGTGCTCTGTGGCGCTGGAGCAGCCGCCCCGTGTCCCGCAGGGGCTCGGGAGTGTTGCCAAAGAGGCGGGTGCGTGCGGTGTGCTCGGTGGACCTGGGTGCTCTGTGGCGCGGGAGCAGCCGCCCCGTGTCCCGCAGGGGCTCGGGAGTGTTGCCAAAGCTCAGCTCCAGCCAAGGAGCTGCTTGCTCCAAGGGAGGGCCCCTCTCCCGGCTGGTTGTCCCTCTGCTCCTTCCCAAACTGCTGTTCCAAAGCCACCCAGCACCAGGGTCACCCTCGCGAAGCAATGCCGGATGAACCAGCAATCACTAATGAATGTCCTCTTCTCTCCCTCCCTCTTCTCCCTCTCCCCTTGGTGTGGATTCCTTCCCTCCCCATCCTTCCCCTCCTTGCTCCCCCTTGTCCGCTCGGCCCGGGGGGGGTTTGGGCCTCGCCGCAGTCTGGGGTTACGGGTTGCTCTGCGTGACCGTCATCTCGCTCTGCTCGCTGGTGGGAGCCAGCGTGGTGCCCTTCATGAAGAAGACCTTTTACAAGCGGCTGCTCCTCTACTTCATAGCTCTGGCGATTGGAACTCTCTACTCCAACG